AATCTTATTTATTTTTTCAAAGAACCAACTTTTAGTTTTGTCAATTTTTTCAATTGTTTCTTTTGTTTCAATTTCATTGATTTCAGCTCTAGTTTTAATTATTTCTAGCCTTCTGTATTTGCTGCTGATTTGTTCTTTTTCTAGGGCTTTGAGATGTAGTGTGAGGTCATTTATTTGTTGGCTTTTTCTTCTTTTAAGGAAAGAACTCCATGCAATGAGTTTTCCTCTTACTACTGCTTTCATAGTTTCCCAGAGATTTCAATATGTTGTGTCTGTGTTTTCATTTACCTCTAAGAATTTTTTAATTTCCTCCTTGATGTCTTCTGTAACCCTTTGTTCAATCAGTAGCATATTCTTCACTCTCCATGTGATTTAGGAATTTTTCTTCCTTTTTATCGTTGATTTCCAATTTCATTCCATTATGATCAGATAAAATGCATGGTAGTATCTCTACTCCTTGATATTTGCTAAGAGTTGCCCTGTTGCATAATATATGGTCTATTTTGAAGAAGGATCCATGTGCTGCTGAGAAAAAAAGTGTATCTGCTTGATGTTAGTTGATATATTCTATATAAGTCAATTAAGTCTAAGTTATTAATTGTGTTATTGAGCTCTACAGTTTCTTTATTCAACTTTTGTTTAGAAGATCTGTTCAGTGGTGAGAGAGGGGTGTTAAAATCACTCATGATTATTGTGTTGTGGTCTATTTGACTCTTGAACTTGAGAAGAGTTTGTTTGATGAACATAGCTGCACCATTGTTTGGGGCATATATATTAATGATTGTTATGTCTTGGTGGTGTATGGTTCCCTTGAGCAGTATGTAGTGTCCTTCTTTATCCCTTTTGATTAACTTTGGATTGAAGTCTATTTTATTTGATATGATTATGGACACCCCTGCTTGCTTCCAAGGTCCATGTGAGTGGACCTTTCACCTTTTACCTTTCACCCTCAGTCCCTGTATGTCTTTTCCTATCAGATGAGTCTCCTATAGGCAGCATATTGTTGGATCATTTTTTTTTTCATCTAGTCTACTTGCCTATGTCTTTTGATTGGTGAGTTTAAGCCATTAACATTTAGGGTCACTATTGAGATATGGTTTGTATTTCCAGCCATATTTGTTTATTTTTTGTTATTTAAATTGATTTGTTTTTCCTCTTTGATTAGTTTTTCCCACTGTTGGTTTTCATTGTTATTTTTCATTTCCTCTTTATGTAATGTTTTGCCAAGGATGTTTTGAAGCGCCAGTTTTCTAGATGCAAATTCTTTTTGACTTTTGTTTATCATGAAAGGTTTTTATTTCATCTTCAAACCTGAAGCTTAGTTTTGCTGGATACAAGATTCTTGGTTGGAACACATTATCTTTCAGCATTTGAAATACTTTGTTCCAGGATCTTCTAGCTTTCAGATCTGTGTTGAAAGATCAGCTGTTAACCTCATAGGTTTACCCCTAAATGTAATCTGCTTCCTTTCTCTTGTGGCTTTTAAAATTCTCTCCTTGTTCTGTATGTTGGACATTTTCATTATAATGTGTCTTGGTGTGGGTCTGTGGTGGTTTTGTACATTCGGCATCCTGTAGGCTTCTAGGATTTGGATTTCTGTTTCATTCTTCATGTCTAGAAAGTTTTCTAAAATTATTTCATTGAACAGATTGTTCATTCCTTTGGTTTGGACCTCTGTACCTTCCTCTATCCCAATAACTCTTAAATTTGGTCTTTTTATGCTATCCCATATTTCTTGGATGTTCTGCTCATGATTTCTTATCAGTCTCTTTGTGCTGTCTACACTCTTTTCGAGATGATATACTTTGTCTTCGTTGACTGATGTTCTGTCTTCTAAGTGTTCTACTCTTCTGGTGATACTCTCATTTAAGATTTTAATTTGGTTTATTATTTCCTTCATTTCTAGGATTTCTGTTTGGTTTTTTTGTATAACCTCTATCTCCCTGTAGAGTTGATCTTTTGCTTCTTGGACTTGTTTATGTAATTCATTGTCAAAGTGATCTTTCATTGTCTGCATTTGCTGTCTAATGTCTTCCTTGAGACTCCAGATCATCTGAACCATGTATATCCTGAAACCTTTATCTGACATTCTTTCTTCTGTAGATGTTACCTCCTCTAATGTTGAATTGCCCTGCATTGTTTGTGGTTCTTTCTTTCCTTGTCTTTTCATGTTGCTCACGTTTCTTTCCAGCTCTGTGTGACTTTTGTGTTATTGTTTTTTCCCCTATAGATTTGTATTGCTCTCATATAGTTCTCATATAGTTCCTCTCCTTTGTGATGGGAGACAATGTAACCAGTTCCCAATATCAACTATACATCATCTATGAGTTAGTTTCTGTTATTAATACATTTATAGTCAGTCTTTATGTTTAGAGATGTTGGATTCAATTATAATTTAAAATATATTCATTGGTTTCATAAAAGGCATAGTTTCTGTTGGCGTATAGAGAACTGAGGGTCAGGCGTAGGACGTTATGTTAAGTGGGAAAGATGAGAGAGTATGGGGTTAATATATGTTAGCTACTTTGGAGGAGAACACTAATGAAGAAAGTTATTAGCAGGAGAATAGACAGGAGATATTTTATAGTAGTTAAGTACATGGGAAGACAATAAAAGCGTAGAAACAAATACCTATTTGCATTTAGTAAATTATACGTAATAGATATAGTAACACTTGGGAGGTTGAGAGAGGAAGAGAATGAGGAAGAAAAGTAAAAAGAAAAGAAGAAGAAAAGTGGAGAAAAGAGATAGAGAGAAAGGAATGAATAAAAGAGGAAAATAGAGAAGAAAAAGATAAAAAGAAAAAAAGGAAAGAAGGAAAGGGGGGGGGGAATGCACTGTTAGAATTCTGGTTTCTTCTCTTCCAGTAGGTGGCGTTGTGCACTCCAGGTAGGGTCTCTGCCCTCAGGGTGGTGGAAGCAATCTGTGTGAAGCAGCTCTCTCTCACCTGCCTCTCCAATCCTGGTCTCTTTTGGTTGCTTCCAATCTCTATCCCCCTCCCCTCTCCTGCCCCCCAGGCCCCAATTGATGGGTCTCTTGTCTGAAGCCCTGGGTTCACTCTGGGTGGGTGGCGCCCTGGCCGCCCCACGCTTCTGATCAACTGAGCGCTATCTCTGTGTTGGGTAGWCACCAAGTCATCACAGCTGTGGAGAGGGGGAGCTGGAAACCGGCAACCTGTTCTGTCATATTCCCACGGAGAGCTGGTGAGAAAGGTTTTGAGTTATCACAGCCGCGTAGGGGGGGGGGGCTGCGAATCACACACCTGTTCAGATGCCCATCATGCTGTCAGCTACACCCACCAAAAGTTGATGAGGTAGATTTTCCAAGATGGCAAGCACCCATTTCCACGCAAGGGTGTCCAGTGAGGTGGAGGGAACTGGGCTGTTCCTACCCTACGTCCAGAATTCGGTCCTTGGTCTGGTGCTCTGCAGTGTTATGGCTCACAGTTTGGCCCGCACCAGCCCTGAAGGATCAGTAACCCTGCATCTCTGCGCTGCCAGAAATCCTCAGTGCTCAAAGTCTGCCCGTCTGCTGGGGGTCCCATCGCTGCGCTGCTGGCGGGCATCCATGGCAAAGAGCAACTCTGGTTTCCTCACGTCCTGGGCTGGGCTTGCAACAAACTGCTGTTTAAAATCCTGACACATGCTCCATGAAGCTTAAATTCATGAATGGGAGCCCCTGTGAGGGAAAACGTCCTACCACTCACTGGGAGTCACTCCAGTAATGGGTTCTTTTCTACTTCACCATCTTGGAACCCTAACATTTCTTCTTCATTCTTCTTTAAGACTGAGTTATATTCCATTATGTTTATATACCACAATTTCTTTATCTACTTAACTGTGGAAGGGCATCTAGGTTGGTTCCATAGTTCAGCTATATGAATTGAGCTATAAATATTGATATGAATGCATCACTGTAATATGCTATCTTTTAAGTCCACTCATAGTGGATTAAAGATTTAAATGTAAGATCTGAAACTGTCAAACTCATAGTAGAAAACAGGGAAAAAGCTTCAAGGCATGGGCCTTGGCCTTTATTTGTTGGACACAATAACAAAAGCATAGGTAACGAGTGGGATGGCATCAACAAACAGACAAAAGAGCTTTCTGTGGCAAAGGAAACACTTCAGGGTGAGAAGGCAACCTAGATAAAAGGAAAAAAAAAACATTTGCAAACTATATATCTTACAAGGACCTAGACCTAATCTTTAACCCAAATTCAATTACATTTCCAAGCAATATGGCAGTTTTTAAGATTCACCCTTAAAACAGAAAAAGGAGAGAAAAACTTTCTTGAAATAAGAGAAATTACTCTCATGAATGTCCTCAGTGAAATTTCATCTCCAGAGCTGTAGGAAGGGGAAGTGATCCACCAGAGAAAACTCCATTAACCTCTATGTAGTGGTGGCATCTGATTAGGGTTGTGAGTGAAAATTCAAACCAGCTGTGCAAGACCTTCAGCGGCACCACTCTTCTTTGTAAACAGTTTAACAACTTAGGTGAGAATCAGGAGCTAAAATTTTCAAAAAATGTTTTTATTTAATCATCCATTGGCCTGATTAAAATGCTTAGGTGTCCTGATTACCAATAAAAAAAAAAAAAAACTATCCCTGAAAATGAAGAGCATTACCTTTAACTACATCCAGTTTTTTGACAGAACTGTCTTCCTTCAAGACATCATAGTAGTTAAGAGTATGGTCTCACTTTCCTTGAAGCAAATGTCTATTCAAGTTTCATTTTGCTACTTCATAACTGTTTGACTGTCATCAAGTAGCTTTACTCTCTTTCGGTTTCCTCAAATGTAAAATGGGAGTAAAGACAGTTTATACTTCACAGAAGTCTTATGGAAATTAAATGAGTTAATGCATTGTTTGGTCAAAGAATTATAAATTTTTAAAACTAGATGATTTTAGAAAATGTGTAACTTTAATAGTAAAAATATGTATAAGCAAGCTAATATTGAAAATTCACTATGACAATGACTTTTTTTTTAATTTGTAGAGATTAAATGCCCTGGCTACAGTAGTTCGAGGCAGTCTACCTAAATTGCACAGAAATATCATAACTGCATTGATTACTATTGATGTGCATGCAAGAGATATAGTCACTGAGCTTGTTAACGCCAAGGTAAATGTTTCATTTAAGTAAGATCACATACTTCTTCCTGAAATTATTGTGTCTAATATACATTTCATCCATAATCCCTTATGTAGGTAGACAAAGTTGAATCCTTTGACTGGCAGAGACAACTGCGCTATTATTGGGATGTAGACATAGACAATTGTGTGGCTAGAATGGCACTATCTCAGTACACTTATGGCTATGAATATTTGGGAGCATGCCCAAGATTGGTTATTACTCCTCTCACGGTGAGTGACTGATCACTTAGGTTAATACTGATACAAGTGCTTTTTGTCAAAACCATGAGAAGTTTCATCTAACAATTTTAAAGGAATTTGCTGTGATACATCTTTGTAAAGCAGATATTTATATACTTTAATTATGTACATGGACCGTTGAGTACACTTCAATTGTATAAAACCCTACATGGGAACCAGTGGCCCTCCTATAGAAAGGAAATGACATAAATTTGTAGCTAAAGTCAATTCCCTTCAATGATGACAATTTATTAATTTCTTCAGGATCGCTGCTATCTTTGCCTCATGGGGGCTTTGCAGCTTGACCTAGGAGGTGCACCAGCTGGTCCTGCTGGCACTGGAAAAACAGAGACCACCAAAGACCTAGCAAAAGCTCTTGCCATCCAGTGTGTGGTCTTTAACTGTTCTGATGGTTTGGACTACAAGGTACATTTCCCTTATCTGAATACTAACGTTAAGTGTTTTGTGTGGCTTTCAATATTTGCAACACAACATAACAAAACAAGGAAACAATGAGGCTATGTCAAATAACGGAAATGAAGCAGGGCAAAGAATGGTTAAAAGTGAAAAAAGAGAACAAGGAAGAAGAATCAATCTACTATTGCAGTATGTTATTTTGCCTTAAATGTTATTTTGCCTTAAAATATTACAAATATTTTAAGAAAATCTAGCCTGACATAGATATGTATTCTTTAAAGAGACAAATATTTTAATAATGCTTTAGGTAAATTGTAAATATTATTTGAAATTATATCAAAACTTGATGAAGAATGGTTTCTTAATGTTAACTTACAGTGTAAAAACTGAAACCATATCAGTGATGCTTTTCTACTCTACTCTGATGAGAGAAGGAGATTGGAAAAGGCAAATAACACCTTAGTGTTATTATAAGAACACTTGGATTTTGCAGACTGCTGAAAAAAACTTTTTGACTTACAGGAATCCTTATTTGTTTTCACTTCTTCTGATAATTGCTTTTAAAACATAAATTTATTTCTGTATTTGCAATACATTAGTGGTGAACATGATCTGCCAGCTCATTAAATAAGACTTTGTTCAATACAACCTGCCAACTTTCTGTTCCACTTTCACATTTCTTTTCACTTCCAAGGCTGATGAAATTTACATACTATTTTAAAACTATAGTTATGTTGTCTTTGTTTTGTCTAGGGGGTGAATATAAAAATATGAACCCTTAGCACAGCACAATCAAGGATTGTTCATCACGGAATTTAACAGAATATTAAACCCATAGAAAAGAGCCAACACACCATCATGAAACCTCTGACATTCAAAGAAAGCATTCCAAGTATCAGGGCTAATAGATTGTTTTTTCATTTCTATTCTACTCTCTCTGCTTCTTTGTTTTTTCATTTCTATTCTACTCTCTCTGCTTCTTTTTAGAACAGTGTCTTTCTAACTTAGTATGCATATGAATCCTCGGGCTTAACATCTCCTTCTCCCTGCCAACCAGAGTAACTGCTACGTCTTTACCACTGACAGCTTCAGGCAGGCTGTCCTTCAGCCTGATAGACAAGGATTATTAGGGTATGCATTATAGAATTGTTTCTGCTTTCTACCAGCACCTAATTCAGAGTGGTGTGGATTGATTTGTATCTTCCTAAAAGATGTTCAAGTCCTAACACCTTGCATGTGTGAACATTACCAGATTTGGGGATAGAAATCTTCACAGAGGTAATCTAGTTAAAATGGGATCCTACTGGAACTGGATGAACTAGTGTCCTTATGAGAAGAGGCAAATGTGGCAGTGGTCACACAGAAAGAGGAACACCATGTGAAGGTACACAAAGGCATAGATTAGAGTGATGCAGTGCAAGCCAAAGAATGCCAAGGATTACCTGCAAGTACTAGAATCTAGAGTCAAGGAAATGTCTTTCCTCGAGCTTTTGTAGTGAATGTGGCTTTGCCAATACTTTGGGTTCAAGTATGTAGCTCCCAGAACTGTAAAAGAATAGATTTCTGTAGCTTTCGCCACCCAGTTTATGCAAATTGTCACAGCAGTCCTAGAAAACTAATATACAGCCCAAAATTCTTATTATTAAATGTTCCCTCAACTTTCCTAATATAAACCCAAATCCTATAACTCCTCCCAAGGCTCCTTTACTAAGACAACCCACAGTTCCCTCATGGTTTCCAAGGTTCCCCATAATGTATGATCTCACTTGTTGAAATAAATAATATGCCCAATTGTGTTTGACTATAGGTGTGTTTCTGGCTTTCACTTATAAGCACTGAGTCCTTTACATGGGAAGAGAAGAATTAGAAACTGCCTGACTTGCAAAAGTGTTTATTTCCCAGGCAGTCCGTGGAATTGTTCCTTTGTTCAAAATTAGTATTTGGAATTTTTCCTTTGCTTAACAGGCTGGAGGTTTTCACATTCTGGGGCAGTATACCAGAGTAAGATTTAGTATGAATGAGAGCATGGAAGCTTCTAGGATCTATTGGGTCTTTGCACATGTGGCACTTGACTTAGTGAATACAGCCATAAGGAGGCTGAATTTCAAAACCTCGCTTTCCTCCTCTCCTAGGCACAAACTACACAAACAGGAATGAAGGAAAGAGGATCTTTTGTGAAGGACAGATAGAAATGAAGAACCAGTATGACCACAGCCATGTTCTCAAGAGATAAATTATAGCAAAGAGTCTATATCAAAGATAAAGATCTAGAATTTTCTTTTTTACTTCCTTTAAAACTGTCCATTCACAAATATTCCTTGAGAAATCTTCATGTACTCCAGGAAGTAAGCATAATCTCACATACAAAGACCATTGCCATGGAATGGTCACCCACTCTTATAGAAGGGTTCTTCAATTTTGTTGTCTAGAATACCAACTTGATCATTAGTACTATCCATTCTACCATTCCGTGCACCCATTTAATTCTCCATTTAATTTTTTATCATGGCTATAGCATTATTAATACTCAAGAACTATTTCTAATCTTTGACAAATTTGTTTTTAGAGCATATGATTTTATGCTCTAAAGTACAGTTTCCTCTCAGATCTCAAGGATGCCATGTGAGTTTTCAATATTCTGTTCTGTTCCCTAAATTATCTCCATTTTTACCAGCATTGCTCATTCAGTTCATCCTTCTCATTCCTTCTTTTTCTTGAAATTGATTTCTCTCAATTGTCTGTTGCTCTTCACTTTTCGGTTCAGAAGTATGGGTTGGACTAGTGTGGGTAGCTTGTTTACTCAAAATGTCCTTCTCTGAATGAAGGAGCTATTGTGAGTATTGTAGAAGTATAGGATGTGTGGACAGCATAAGCATACTTCCCCAGTTTATGCAAATTGTCACAGCAGTCTTATGGAGAAGCCAAATATCAGGAAGCCCCTATTAAGTGTCAAATAAAAAATTTTCTTTCAAAGATGTGTATATTTCAATGGAGTTTACCCTTGGATGGAGCTGTCTTTTCTTTATTATCTTTGAATTTCAATAACTAAAATAGAAATTTGAATTTATCTTTCTTTCCTGTCTCTTCTTCTTTTATCTCTCTAGATAATGTCTTCTCCCAATAACTCCCCAAAGCATATCTCTTTTCTAGAGAAGGCAGTACTTGAGTTTTAGCTTGGTGAAAGAAAGTCAGTACTGAAATCTCAAGAGTCCTGTTACAGAGAGATAAAGGACCCAAAAACCTGATTTTTCCAAGTGTTGATCTTTGGCTAATTTCCAAAGATTGCCCTAAAGCCTGTTCCCGATTTCCTTACATGTACTGATGTTGGGTTTGGAGTTTCTTGTAGGTACCACTAAAGGGAAGTTCTCCTCCCTCTCTGCCTTGGGTCTGCAATTTTCCCYTCTCATTAGGCAATCTGTTTCCATGTATTTTCCATCTTCCAATAATTTTTTTTCCAAAACTCTCTTCATACTACCAGTTTCCCTTTCTGTTATGTTTCTGTCAAACCTAATACAAGTATAGACACAGAAATGTAGAGAGATACACACATATCCATCTGTCTTTCTACAATTTATGGGAATTAGAATAAGGTGAGGTAGTGCATGCTCAGTTGAACACCTAAGAGACAGAAAACCCATTAGCTCTGTTTGGATAGTGCAACATGTATCAATCCAAAATCCAAGTCTCCAAAGAAATTGTACACTTTAGATAGCAGCAGTACATACTCATTTTCTTCTGTCATAAGGATTCTGCTATAGAAAAAAGCAAGAACCTGTACTTTAACCTGTGCAGTGATGCCTTCTGCTCAGTAGTAGTCATATGTTGTCAACCACTAGAGTGCCTTTGAAAAATAACAAAAGCTTACATTAATAAAATTTTCTAAGGGTTTTTTAAAGTCTTTAAATTTGTGTCTTCCATGTCTTAGAGTCTTGAGAACCTGTCAAGTATTTGTGGAGATGAGTAGGATTGTTTTAAAAAAGAAAGAAAATTGGTCAGATTATTTTGTTATTTAAAAGTAAAAATTAGATTCAAAGCTTTGAGAGAGGCAAAAAGATTTCTTGTAGAAAACTTCTTACATTCTGACAGCCCACTATTTACTTAAAACCATTGCTTATTTGTAGATAACACCTCTCCTGTTTAATACTTCAGCTCAAAATTTAGCTTTTGAAGGAATTAAACTGTGTAATTCAAAGGTAAATGATTTTATTGTGATTTCAGATGATGGGGCGCTTCTTCAGTGGGTTGGCCCAGTCAGGAGCCTGGTGCTGCTTCGATGAATTTAATCGAATAGACATAGAAGTTTTGTCAGTGATTGCACAGCAACTCATCACCATTAGGAATGCCAAAGCCGCAAAGGTAAGGATTGGTCAATTCTCTATCTTAAGTTTGTAGCTAACACACAGCTTGTTGTATTTGAGGAAGGAAAATTCTAGATTTAGCCTATCTAGTTCATATTTCTGGTTTAATTGATGAATGCTACAGCAACAGGACTTAATTGGATGAATTAATTCTGCATCCAAGCAACACAGAGAAAAATCAGTGCTGTGACGATACAGAAGAATATGAGACTCAGTCCCATAGTAGTCACATGCTGTCAACCTCCTAGAGTGCCTTTGAAAAATAACAAAAACTTACACAAACAAAATTTTCTAAGGTTTTTTTTAAGTCTTCAGATTTGTGTCTTCCATGTCTTAGAGTCTTTAAGAACCTGTGAAGCTCTTCCTCACATACTCACACCCTGTTCCTCTGCTCTCCACTTCCTTTTTCTCTCCTTTCACTTCCTTTTCTGCAGGGAGGGGCATACTGGGGATTGAATTCAGGGGCACTCGACCACTGAGCCACATTTCCAGCCCTATTTTGTATTTTATTTAGAGACAGGGTCTAGCTGAGTTGCTTAGCACTTTGCTTTTTGCCAAGGCTGGCTTTGAACTCAAGATCCTCCTGCCTCAGCCTACCAAACTGGTGGGATTACAGGCATGTACCACTAAGCCGGCTCTCTGCCCTTCTTGTTTCTGTTTCTCTAAGATTGCTTCTTATGAACTTCACTGTGTTCATAATAGCCTCCAGGCTTAGCTTACTGCTGGTGGAAAAATGGGTAGAAATCTTAGGAAATCCAAGAGGACCTTGGCTCTCCAGAGCTCACTGGACTAGAAAATCTAAGGAGTATAGGGTCAAATGAATGTTTGTAGTAGTCTTGTTATTTAAAGTTTGTTTCAGCCACATATGAATATGTTCTGAAGAAGGGGATATTGTATTGGAAGCTGATTGCAATGAAAGATGAGACCAAGACTCCTAATGCTCTGTATTGACCTTCTGAGCTTTAGTCACTGAAAGGCAGCAGTGATGCACAGCCCATACAAACTAAAATCCCTCCAAGCCCCTCAAGGGTCCCCCACTATTCCCTAGGCCCCTGTCAATAAAGCCTCAGATGTCCTCAAGCTCTATAAGTAAGGTTTTGCCTGACAGAGCAGGAGACATTTACATTCAACTCCCCCTCTGGAACAGGAACCACTCATATCAAAAGGGGGCCCTGATAAAGAGTTGTTAAGTTTTTGGTTATTGTCTCTATAAAGAAACAAATTATAGAACAAATAAAAAGAAATGAGGAATTATACTTTAATAACTGATAAAAGTCATTGTGGTATACTTTACATTTATCTCATCTTTACACCAAACTTTTGTGTAGTATATGGTACTTTCTCAAAGTTATAGGTAAGAAGGATTAAAAGTTAAAAAATATTTAGTAGACCTCATAATACTAAGATACACACCTAGATCTATGTGACCCTGAAGTCTGAACTCCTTCATCTACCCACCCTCCTCCTTGCGACATACTCTGGGGATGTCTATATTAAAGACAAGGACTTTCAGATATAACCAGTAAATCATTATCATCCTGCTGAGTAACTGAAAACAAAGCTGGATGGGGGGCAATGACCAGAGAAAATAGAAGCACTGCCAGCTCAAGAGCTACCATGTGAGGATTAGGGAAAGTAGGAGGACTCTGAGATTAACCAACCTTGACCTCAATTTCTAGTGGCCAGATGAGATACTTGGAGTGGGGTGCATCCCCTGGTATAGAAGAAATAAAGCACAGAGATGGAGGATTTGAATAGCACGTTTAGTCTTTTAACATCAGGAGAATTGGCCTCATCTAGGCAATGACACATTGCCCTAGCTCTGCCCTGGTCTTTCCCTTATTCCTCATGTTTGTTATAGCACCTTCATACAGTGGCCCAACTAGAAACCCTGAATTTGCCTCTGATTTGTCTGTTATCAACCCAGAATCTAAAATGTCACCAAATTATATTAATTATACCTACTAGGTGCCTCTCATCCCCACTTACACCTCTCAAATTCTGGCTTTCATCTTCGTGTTAGTGACAGTTCCTTAATGGCCTCCCTGTCTGTAGTTTGCCCAACCTCTCCACTACCATCTTTGTTCCTATCACTCTGCTTACAAGAATCCTCTGTTTCCCCTCAACCAGGGGACTAAAACTAAATTCTTCAGTTTAGTGTGCAAGACTCTACATGTCCAGGCCCCAACCTAGCCATACTTTTACTTTGTTGCAAAGTAGATTGCTGGTCATTCCTGGAACATGCAGGGCTCTTTCTTCCTCCTGCTCATTTTTCCAGGAAAGGCTGCTCCTGCTTATGTACCTGAAATGTCCTTTTTAATTCTTCAGGTCTCAAGAAAACTGCCTCTCCCAAGGGAGGCTTTGCTCATACCTCCACTGTAATATTTTTAGCACCATGTTGTCATACTGTCTAGGTCTGATGGCCCACAACAAACCTAGAGCTTCTCAAGAGTCAAGTTTCCTTCAGCTCTGTGCCTCCATGGCTAACTTAAGCCTCATCCACAATAAGTGCTTAACAAGCCTCTGCTGTTGAATGAAAGTGAAAAGGCACCAAAGGTTAAGAATAGATTAGAATTTCTTGGAAAATACCAGAAAGTGGGAGTGGAGAACTTTAGTGACTGTTGAACTGAAGAGTCTAAGCAAAAGATATTGAGGCCTAGAAGATTTTAGGATTGGACGAGGAAAGAAGAGACATATTGGTCAAGGAAGGGGCAGGGAGGCAGAGAATATGAAACACAGAACCCAGAGATTGGAAGTAGGTAGAACAGAATCAGAAGAGAAATGCTCCCTGTTGTCCCAACAATAGGATTCAGTAGTCTTTGCTTGAATGCTTCGTGCTCAGTTATTATGTGAGAATTTACAAATGTCTGGAGAAGGGTTCATTTATACTTTCTTTTTAAACAGCTCTCTAGATTCATGTTTGAGGGAAGAGAAATAAAGTTGGTTATGACTTGTGCAGCCTTCATCACAATGAATCCTGGATATGCTGGCAGAACCGAGTTGCCAGATAATTTGAAGGCTCTATTTAGACCAATGGCAATGATGGTTCCAAATTATGCTTTGATTGCAGAGGTAAGCTTTCTGTTTTTTTTTTTATTATTAAGAAGCAAAATTTTCAATGTGATTTCTTTTATTGTAGATTGTTATCACATAGAATGTTTATTCTGCATGTTTGGTTTTGGTAGTTGTTTTTTACTGCAATTATAGTAGGCCCCTAAAACTGGAATAAATCCATGAGTTTCATTAACCAGTTCATTTATCAGTTTTATCAGTTCATCTCTAGGAATTAAAATGTAAGGATTGGTTCTTGAAATACTGTATTATTCTCACTTCCCTTTATGCATTTTTTGTTGTTGTTAGAATCAAGGAATGCTGAGTAGAAACTATATTAATCAATATGATGGAAGGATTGGTTTGTCAGTCTATAACAATTAGTAAGAAAACAGTAATCACTAATAAATTGTGATATTGTTTGTTCTGCCTTTATCTAACAAGACATATTTTATTTCTAATTTCAATGGTATTTATTCCTTAATACTAGCTAAGAATAAATGTTCTTAAGTATCATATTTATTTTTCAAGGAACTTGGATTAAGGTACGGTCTGTATGCAATAAAGGGCACAGGCTCACAAGGGTAAAACTCAGTGAATTCTTACACATGTATTCATCTGTCTGACCACCAAGACCAAAATATTGTCAGACTCCAGGAGGCCCCTTATGTTCAGCACTGCTTTTCATAATGAGACACCACCCTTTTAAGAATGGAATTTCTTAGAAAACACAGATTATTCCTTTAGCTAATAAATTCCTTTGATAACAGATAATTTTAAAATTCTCTATAAAGTTAAGGTAATTGATTAACATCAGAATAGACCATGCCAAGTCCTGTCATTGCAAGAATTACAACTCAAAAGCTCAGTATCCTCAATAACTTTTTTAGGCATAGTGGGGTGGGGGAAGCAGTTAAGATGGGTGTTGGCTTCACTCTGATTCTCTCTATGGACATGGATGATTATTTCTTGCTCATTGTCCCACCTGGTAGAAACTAAACTGGGTTTAAAACCCAGTGCAATATATTTTTTTCATATCTCATATTTTGTACTATTACTGTTAGTCAGTATTGAGGGGGCAAATTTAAAAATCTCATCTTCTGAATGTTACTCCTCTTGTTACAGATTGAGAATAGTCAGAGTCTGTCATCAATAAACATTTTTATTACTTGTGTGCAAAACATTGCAAATCAGTAATTAAAAGCAGTAAACAAAATAGGCCTTGTAAGACATCTATGCATCCTTCAAATTCTGCAGTGGTTATGGCAGATTATGGGTAAAGGAAGGGTCCATTCCTACCACTGTCAAAGATGTCAGGCTTTATTCAACTAATTTAACCAAGGATGCAGAAATTTTTCAGGAGCCAAGGTAGTCTTATAGGGAGAAGCTACAAATCTTTATGTAGCTTCCCTTGATTCCCAGGGAACCTAAAGAGAGCAAGTGGCCATCACTGGTACTATCCACCAAGGTGGCCTTTTTGTCAGATTAGAGAAGTCCAATTCTTGATTTTGTACTCAGGAGTTACGATACCATCCAACCTCTATTTGTACATTTCCAAAAATTGAACTCTGCTATTCCTTGAACTAAAAGTCACCAAGCCCACATCTTCATTTACATGGAGAAAGAAAATCAATTTCCTGCTATTACCTATAATATTCTACCTGACCCCTTCTTGTGGCCCTGAAAATTCTTTTCCCTTCACTCTTCACATGTCTTTATTAAATAATATAAAAACATGAAAAGGCATGAAGTCAAGAAGTTGATTTTTAATATATTGGTATTATACTAATATATTGTCATCAATACAATATAAGAAGTATTGTGTTAAATTTTTCTGTTCTAGGTAATCCTATATTCTGAAGGATTTGAATCCAGTAAAACATTAGCAAGAAAAATGACCCAGATGTATAAGCTTTGCAGTGAACAGCTCTCTCAACAGGATCACTATGATTTTGGCATGAGAGCTGTGAAGTCTGTATTGGTCATGGCTGGGTAAGAAACCAAATTAATTGAGAGTGAAACTTCCGAACTCTGTAATCAAATGCATTAAGTGGGTCACTCACAGGAGGCTCTTACAGCAACACTTAATTCATAGCAAGTGACTAATAAATATTAGTGGCTGCTTTTGCAGCATTCTTCCTGTGACTCTCCCATGATATGTGACAGATCTTCACTGAGTCCCAACATGGTTGCTCTCCTGAATCCAACTAGGCTTCAGCTAAGTTTCATTTTCCCTAAAGTCATAGCATATATTGGGTTTTAGTGTACAAAAGCCTTTGATATCATCAGACAGGATGACAAGACTTAAAAAGCACATAGTTTGCTATGTATATATGCTAAGGTGAGTTAAACGTGTTGCCTTAAAAATCCCCAAGAGTTGAAAGAAATTTTGTCATCCTATTTTCAGTTCAGGTTTATGTCATACATTCTATCTCTGTTTTTGCAGTGCAATCCAAGATTGGACTACATTCTAGTTTCTAGCAAGGCAAGAAAATGAGGAATTTTCAAACCCTAAGTTTTCTCTTTATAACTACCTGAAATGACAATATTTGGAATCCCCAACTTGCCTGGAGTCTTTTGGAGACTCTAGTCTTTCTAGTCCTTCCTCTTGGGAATGACTCACTGACTCAGGCTCAGAACGTCCAGGGCCCCTGTTGTGTGTGATCCTGTAGCTTTGCACAAATCTCTTTTGCCCTTTCTAGCCTCCATTATTTCTTTTATCCTCCTAGATTCAGTACATATCCTCTTTACAGGATTGCCAATAAGGGACTAGGGAACTAAGAGTTCAAATACACTGAACAAAACGTTCAGTGGGCAAAACTGACAAATATTCAGTCATCTATACAATGTGGTAAGGGCCAAATTGGGCTGTGCCCATGGTTCACTAGAGTGTGAGACAGAAGATAGAAGACTTTCTAGAGAATAGAGTAAGTGGGCTAGGTTTTGAAAGGTAAGTTCGAGTGGGCAAAAGAGCAAAGCAGGTTTTTCTGGGCAGATAGGAAAAAAAAGTAACAAGGATGAGAGTCATGGTGATGCATTCAAGGAACTATAAGCTAAAGTTGGATAAAAGTCTGGGTTAATGGGGAAGGGCATTTTAGAAGATGTTCTTCTCATTCTCCTCAAGACTATGTAGCCAGTGCAGGACTTAACATGTGATGTAATAGAGATGGATACATTTTGGAAATAGAATGGGAATCATCCTGCAGCTTTCTACAAGCAGAAGCCCTGGCCCATAATTCCGGAAAATCACATTCCATCTCATGTTTTTGGAACATAGTCTGAAATATTTCCTTGAATTTAGGTCTTTAAAAAGAGAGAACCCAGACCTAAGCGAAGATGTGGTTTTGATAAGAGCTTTACGAGACTCCAACTTGCCAAAATTTCTAACAGATGATGCTATTCTGTTCAGGTAAGTTTCTAGACGTCATAGAATAAAGCCTAGCTACCATATAGAGAAAAAGAAGGGTCTTGTTTTCATTATTTCTAACAAATTAATAATTTCTCATCTTTTCTGAAGATATTTATTAATACTAATTAAGAAATACTAGTTTACAATAAAGATACTCAACTTTTAGCATTATTCAAATCACTTTTTTTCAAAATATTGATCACCAGGCTGTGTGCACATTAGCTTTTGGTAAAATTCCTTATCTAAGAGAAATTTCTAGCCTAAAAAAATCAGGCTTGGTCTTAACATAAATGTTATTGCTCCTATCCATTTTTTTATTACTTAATTTTATGTTTCTCCAATTTATAAATGTGTATAGTCTTAAAATAGTTTTGCAAATTAGTCTCGTTGAAAACAATTACCTCCCTTTTGCCAACTACGTCTAAATACAATCATTTTTCAACAGTTTTATTTTGTTATTCCCCTTCATACATCTCATTACCATGCTTATGTTGCTTAAGGTTTGGAAATTTTCTGATATTATGTCATTGAAAATATTATGCATTCCTTTAGTTTATCTATCAGAACCTTTGTCTATCCCAGTGAATCTTAGATTTGGCCTTTTAATGTTACCCTAGATTTCTTAAATATTCTGTTCATAATATCAACATCTTTTCTCTTATGACCTACTTCATTTTTAAGAATAGTTTGTCTTCAAGGCCTGAAAATGTATATCCAAAGTGGTCTAATTTATTGGTGATCGTTTCCATTGAATTTTTAATTTGGTTTATTAATTCCTTCAAGATTTTCTGTTTGGTTCTGTTTCAGAATCTCTATCTCTTTATTGAAGTGATCTTTCACTTCTTGGTATTTTCTGATTTCATTGCTTATGTTATCTTTTATCTCATAGAACAGTTTAACTCTGAACTTTCTCAATTCCTTCTCTGACATTTCCTCTGCTGTGGAGTCAACAGTCTGTTGTTGAGGAATTCTGGGTTGTTTGAGATGGTTTCGTCCCTTGCTTTTTTATGTTGTTTGTATATGTCTACCCTTCTCTCAGTATAGTTCTGGCTTCTTCTTTTAAGTGAAGGAGTACTTTGTGAATTAATTTTCTTTAATTCAATGTGGGACCTCTTCTACTCCCCACTTTAAGAGATGCCACTGAGCCCTATTTACTATAATGACTTATGAGCCATGCCTCATTCTACTCAACCTTATAAGATCAAAAATTTGCTGCAACTGTTCTCTATGGTCCTCAATTTCAGGCATAAACCTATAATAAAATTCTGGAATAGGTTAAAATATTAGTTGTTAAATTTGGTAAACTTATTATAACCTTAAGTGAGGACTAAAAGGAGAGAGCATGAAAGATTAGGGGGAGAGAGAGAGAGAGAGAGAATATGAATGAATGAATATGAATGAGAATGAATAAAAGGGTAATTTACATGAAGGTTGAAAGCAGAAATAGATGAATGGGTGTTATTTGAGGTAGTACCAGATAGTACAAGTATAGTGGGTAAGAGAAGCAGGTATAAACTAGAACTAGGAACACAAAGATAGGTAGATTGATTCCAACTGATGTTTTAAACCATTAGATGAAATATATTCAAATGGGTTGAGGGTACAATGTTGGCTATTGGGTTAACAATTATCATTCGAGTTAAGAAGTTATTAATATAATCAAAATTGATATTAGAGTACTTTATAATATACCATGTCAAGGTGAAGAAAATTCTTGTTGAATCTTGTTTGGACATTTAGCAGATGTCCATCAGTCTTTAACTATGGATCTCTTCTGAGTTGCAGGGGCACAAGAGCCAGTTCCCTAGTTGCTATAAACCTCCTACCAGCAGCTTCTGGTCTGTCAGCTCAGGGGCCTGCACCTCACTGCTCAGAGAGTGTAGTGTTGGGATTGGCTGATTCTGTTTGTGCAATAGTTTATAATTCAGCTTCTGAAGTGCCTCTGTGTGTGTTGTGGGTACCTATTCTCCTCTACTGTATCATTTTTGCAGTAGTGAAGATCCTGGTGGCTGTCTGTGAACATAGAAACTCTGGTTGTGGATTTTCTGTGAATGATTTGTGAGGTACTGTCTGAAGGGTTTCCAGTGGTTCACTTGGATTCTCATTTCTGCTGCCCTGGGCTGTGAATGGCAGGAATTGATTCTCTATGTTTTCTAAATCTGATTGCAGGGTCCTACAAGTATCCACAGTGCCTCCCCACATTGTCAGTGCTGAGGCCTGGTGAATCTATTTTCCTTTTTGGGAGGCCAAAGCTGCTTCATTGTTGTCTTAGTCAAGCAACGGAGTGAATGCTATGTAGGGAGGGAAAGAGGGTGGGGGTTTCTGCAATTTATGGCTAGTAGTGGTCTTTCTAGAAGTTCTTTCTGGATGGATCTATAAGAGGTCCCACTGCAGGGGGCTTCCCTCTGCTTTAACTTGCAGCTGTCTGGGCATGGGAAGACACCATGCTGATTTAAGAACTCAGCTGGTTGCAGACTCCCGGCTCTTTACACAATTTGGTTTTAAGCTATTTGTGCTGTTTAAGAAGCCTTCTATATGACCATTGCAGTTTAAATTTGGTCTTTTCAACAGTTTTTAAGTGAATGAGCTTAAAAGAATGTCCACTCCCCACCCTTTCTCTCTCTGGTGCCCTTCAGTTTGGGTTCAAGTTCTGAGTTTTTTATCTACTCTGGTAACCTATCTTCCAGTCCCTTCAGGTCTCAAACTTTGTAATGATGATACTTAGAGGATTTCTTTTGCCACCTACCTCTCAATTCTGCTCTTCCTTTACTGCCTCCTTTCTGTGTTGTGATAAGATCAGGACTCACTGCCTAGCTCACTTCTGCCATCTTCCTTCACCTCCACAACCTTATACATTTAATATCCTTAAAGCATGTTTTTTTTTTATGCCAGCAATCTTTATTATGTGTTTTTCATTAATCAGATTAAAGACTATGCAAGCATTATTCTTTGTATTCATGAAAGTTACAGAGTTAGCAACATTATGCAGCTTATTCCTGTTATATACTATAGTTGCAATGTGCAATGTTAGGAGCTTTGGGTAGCTCTCAAGAAAGTCCGTTGTTTAAAGTTACTGTTATGYRGGCAGGCTCAGAAGCAGCAGAACTGGTGAATCATTGTGGTTGTCTAGCAGAAGAGTTCCTTTATTTCCAGGAGCTGTGTGCCTGAGATCATGGTAGAGGCTAAGCCTCTAGTACAGAGAGCCTCCTCAWGGAGGGCATTACCATAGCAACTAGGCATCCTGCACCTTTGCATAGAAACTTTCCCAGGCACCAAGCATGCCACAGCCATGAAGTCATCAGGGACCCCAATTTCAGACACTGCTTTTCCTTTCACTGTCACCACTCTCCACACTGTGGGTTTCCATTCAACTTTGCCTGTATTTCCATTATTGTTCTTGTGGCATATTGTGATCTGTTTATGGTTTTGGATCCTCTGATGGACAGTAATGGGCCTTTACCTCATTCTTCTTTGCATATCCAGGACCTAAAATCTGGTGTCCAGTGCACAGCAGGTACTCGATAAATTTGTGCTAAATCAGGCAATGACCAATGTCTGCCTCTGGAAACCTGTTGCACATCCATGAAGTACCTGTCTTCTCGCTGCTCCATTCTCAAAGATCCTCTCCCATCTTTGGCTCCTAACTGGAAAAGTTGTTAGAGTAACAGCTGCCATTAGGGAGCTTTGAAATGAATCAGGGAGCCAGGGCCCAGCTGTTCACATAGAAGCCCCTTCGCCTTATCCTCTAAAACTTACTGGATAGAATGCCAGTCTTAGGCTCTGCTTCTAAGAACATCTCCAAAGAAATCTGAAARACCTCAGATCATTTTGGAAATATATGTGGTAATAAAATAATACAGCTCATTCACGAAAATGGCAATCACCCTTTTTTGAGAGTCTTTACATCTCAAAGAGAATGGGTCTTTGTGGCAGTGAGCTCCATGAAAGAAAGAAGCCTACTTTTTCATCTGTCAAAGAAATGAGGAAGGTTAAGAGTAGAAATGAAGTTATGGAAAGTTATCAGAGCCTTGGGAGAAGAAATCTCTGTTCAGCTCTCAATGCGTGTGCAATGGGTCTTCAAGATCTTTGGAGATGGGGAAATTGGATCTGAGAGAACAAAGGGGACTGTATTTGTTGTTCATTGCTATATAAAATTATGCCAAAGCTCAGGGGCTGGAAATAATGAATATTTATCAATGCAGGATTTCTGTGGGTCAGGAACTTGAAAGTAGCTTAATTGGGGCTCTGTCTCAGGGTTTTTTAGAAGGGTGCTGGCAGGATCTGGGCAGGGGCTGTGGTCATGTGACCTCTTGACTGAAGGGGCTCACATCATGTGACTTCTTAGCTGAAGCTGAAAGGTCCTCTTTCAAGATGGCTCCTGCACAAGGCCATTGGCGAGAGTCCTTGGCCCCTCACCCTGGGACCTCTCTGTGGGCTGCCTGAGTACTTTATGACGTGTCAGCTAACCTTCTGGAATTAGAAAGCCAGGAGAGAGAGCCAAGAGGAAGGGCAGAGCCTTTATAATGTAGTCTGTAAAGTCATCCTTGGGTCAGTGTCCCCAGCTGCCATGACAAAGTACCTCAAACAGGATGGCTCCTCCTGGCTTCCATGGCTGCCAGTGAGCCTGAGACCCCTTGCTGGCAGATGCAGTGTTCCCAGCTCTGTGTCGATCTTCACGTAGCTGAGCTTCTGAGTGTGTGGTTTTCCCTTCTGATAAGAACACAGTCTTTGGAGTAGGGCACACCCTAAAATTGAGCATGACTTCTACTGATAATACCTGCAAAGACCCTCTTTCCACACAAGGCCTAGTGCTGACACTCTAGACTGACACTGTTTTTTTTGCACCAGGTGGTCCATGCATCCCAGAATACCCACCCATCACTTCTGTTCATTAGCAGGAAGCAAACCTTTAAACGTGGCCCACAATCAACAGAATAGGAATTAYTCTCTGYTTCTTGTAGACATATCAAAAAAATTGTGGACATATTTGAAAACTACCATAAGGATAATTTTATATATTTCCATTCCAAGTACCCCTTATGCTGTATTTTTCTAGTCTCAGACTAGAAGTAGTCTATGAGATTGTGTGAAGGAGAAGAACCTTGATAGATGTTCCTCATTACTTCATGATAATGCATACCCTCCTATTTTTAAATCAACAGCAATAAATATCACTTCAATGATTTCAGAGTCTGAGAATATACAGATTCTTTCATCATCCAGATTTGCCCTCACACAGTGGCTCAGGCTCCTCATGGGGACAGGAGAATGCACTGCTGATGGAAGAAGTTCTTCTTATGGCCTCTGGCCAGCCCCCGTTGCACACACAGACKCTAAAGCATGTTTTTATTGTGCTCTTTTCTTGTAAGAACTCATAACCTTGATCTGACATAAACATTGGAAAAATACAAGTCTCTGGTTCATTCTTTAAGTTTATGTATAAAGCCTTTAAACTCATATAAATATATTTTTTGCCTGTTCGGTTTTATGTTTTCACTCTATCAACATTTTTTTTCAGTTGTAGACTTCCTGTCTTTCTTAGATCTCCTTACACAATATAGCAAAATTCATTTTTTCCACACTTTCATCTTATACTTTTGTCACTTTATGTAAGGTCTTTACTGTATATCAAGTGTATTTGTGTATAAAATATAAGGTAGAGATTTAATTTCTTTTCTCCCATACAAAAATTCCCTTAAAAATGTTCCTCATAGAAACAGCCAACTTTTCCCTTTCTCCCTTTTTTACCCCATATTCATTGTCTACTTAAATTCTCATCTACTTTTCTGAATATCTATATATAGTTATAAGTGTAGGTAAATATATTTGGAAAAAGTTGAGACACAAATATAATTTTAAAAATAAATTTATAAATGTATCACCTTCTATGTGTTCGGTACCATACCACATACTATTGGCAATACAGAAACATAAGACATATTGCATATCCTCAGAGAGTTCCTATTATACTAAGAACATTGGTCTACTGTACAGGAAACAAAATTATACGAGATATCAGAGAAAAATGATTGCTTCTGTTACAGCATATAGGACAAACTAACATTGTGCATATTCAGAAGAATCAAGTAATTGTAGAAATATGAGAAGGTATCAGTGACCACTGCTTCCTAATAAATTTTATTTTTGTTTTCTCAGTGGAATCATATCTGATCTTTTTCCTGGAGTCCAAATTCCAGAACACGACTATGGTATTTTGCAGTCAACAATTGTGGATGTCATGAATGGAAAAAACCTTCAGCCTGAAATCTGTATGGTTGAAAAAGTGATACAGTTCTATGAAACTATGCTTGTGAGGCATGGTGTTATGTTAGTTGGGCCAACAGGAGGTGGCAAGACCACAGTTTATCAAATACTAGCAGAAACTTTAGGGAATTTACAAAAACTTGATTTAGGCAATCCTTTTTATCAAGCAGTTAAAACGTATGTTCTTAATCCTAAATCAATCACCATGGGTGAATTATATGGTGAAGTTAATAACATAACCTTGGAATGGAAAGATGGTTTGATGGCACTAAGTGTCCGAGCAGCTGTGAATGATACTTCAGAAGACCATAAATGGATCATCAGTGATGGACCAGTGGATGCTCTTTGGATTGAAAACTTAAATACAGTATTGGATGATAACAAGATGCTTTGCTTGGCTAACAGTGAAAGGATTAAACTCACACCTCAGATCCACATGCTCTTTGAGGTAAATGTATGACTTACTGTGGAATGAAATCATTCCTTAAAATCGGCATGCCATCATTAATTTTTTTAATGATGTATCATTTACCATCTGTGCTATTTTTTTTTACTTAATAAGTAATTATTAAATTATCCTTTTGAAATAGTTGCCAATCCTGAAAAAGTTTCTCAAATGTTCCTGTCTGTGTAAATAGGAAATAGAATTAATTCTGATTTTCCTAGTACTTGGTTTCTTTGAAATTCTTCCTCATTAAGCAATATTATTTTATATGAATAAATTATCCTACTGTGGTATGAATGTTTGGCAAGAAATTAGAGAAAGGATGTGGAACCAAATACTGCTACAAAATATGGAAGAGACCAAGACCACTCAAGATCTAGTCATTCATCAATTACTGATTAAATGTCCATGTGTACTATGAATTTGGCTAGCTATTGGGACACAAGAATGAGAAAAGTAAAGAGAAGAAAAGAAAAATAAATAAATGTCTATTCCTGCTGATATCTTTTTCCTGTACTGGGGATTGAACCCAGGGATGCTTTACTACTGAGCTACACCTCCAGCTCTTTTTTTTCCTTCTTTGAGACAGGACCTCACTAAATTGTCCAAGCTGGTTTTGAACTTGCAATCCTCCTGCCTCAGCCTCCTGAGTTGCTGGGATTACAGGTGTGTGCCACTACACCCAGCTCCTGCCCATAAGGATTTGACAATGTCCTCCTACACTCATTTTTTTTTTACCCTATGCCTCACTTACATTTGCTTCTCCATTTCAAATTACTTATTGCCCTCCCACTGTCCTCCACATGAAGCCTTTTGGTGTTAAACTTTAAAAGGTCTGAATCACTACCACTGAAATTGGATGAATAAGAAAGTATAATTAGCTATTTCCTGTTCAACTTTTTTCAATTTTAGGTGCAAGATCTAAAGGTTGCCTCTCCTGCAACAGTCAGTCGATGTGGAATGGTGTTTGTGGATCCCGAAGAACTAAAATGGATGCCTTATGTTAAAACATGGATGAAGCGGGTTTCTAAAAAGGTAAGTGCAATCAAATGTGCAATCAGATATTTCCCAGTATCTTCATCTGTTGGGGCTCACACTTCCCCAGAATGCACAAATAGCAGTAGGTTATAGCAGCACTGTTCTCAATTGAGGAAATTTTATTTTGTCCTTCTCCCTAAGAATTCCTGGGTCTTCCAGGAATGTTTATATACTCCCCAGGTCTTTCCTCATTACCTGTTACCTCAGCCTGCCAGCCTGCCGAGTCACTCTGCTTCCAGTCTGCTCTTCCTGGCTTCTTAGACTGGTTCCTGTCAGTAGAAACACAAGCCACTTCCTGAGTCCCTAAAAATACAGATAGAATAAGGCTGAACCATGGAAAGGCTTTGCAGAAGGCACAAGGGTAAAAAGAGGAAATCACTATGAATAAAAAGAAGTGTTAAATACAAACACTAACTGGATTTTATATTTTAGGAACCCCCAACACCTCTGAGAGCCAGAAAGGAAAGAAAAGTTTCCATCCTTGTCATAGGTGCAAGACCCATGACACATTCTCACCTCAGATTTATAGTTCACTCCAAATGAAGGAAATCCTATACATTATTATCCAAAACAACTCAGTTCCATGCTAGCCTCTGAATTTCCTGCATTCTAAAATAGGATTTTTTCTTTACCTTAACAACATTTTAACATTTATAATAATTCTCACTATCCCATCACTTCTCCAAGGGAACAGTCTTCTTCTCTGCCTCTCCCACTCCAAAGATGAATTAGAGCAAGAGAAAGAAGAGAAAGGAAAGAGAAAGAGATAAGGGGGACAGGGATAAAGGAGGAGATGGACCAGAGAGAACTATCTTTCTCCATTGGAATGGCCTTTGCTCTTTGTCAAAAATAAGTTGACCATATTTGTACGGGCCTCTTTCTGAGCTCTATTCTGTTCCATTGATCTACTTTTTTAATCCTTTTTCCATGTCTTGTTATTATAGCTTTATACTAAATCTTGAAGTTGGGTTTTGTCAGAACTTCAGCTTTGTTCTTCAATGTTGTTTTGGTGATTTGGGGGGTTTGCCTTTTTGTATAAACTTTAGAATCAGTTTTTCAGTATCTATAAAGAAATTTGCTAGAAATTTGATTGTTGATTTTATAGGTGAAATTTAGAGAAACTGACATCTTAACACTAATCTTCCTAGATATGAACATGGTTTATCTGTTCATTTATTTAGGTCTCTTTGGCTTCTTTTATCAGAGCACTGTAGTTTTTCTCATGTAGATCTAGTACATGTTTTATTGGATTTAAAGTTATTTCATTTTTAATGCTAATATATAATCATGTTATATTTTTTTATTTCAAATTCCACATATTCTTCATTTATACTTGACTTCTTTATATTAACCTGTATCCGGCAAACTTACTATCATTATTGGTTCCAGTTTTGTTTTGTCATTTGGGGGTGGATTTTATATATAGACAATCATGACATCTGTGAACAAAGTGTTTTACTTCTTTCTTTCTAATCTGTATAACTTTTATTTCCTTTTATTGCTCTATTGCATTAGCTAGGGCTTCTAGTTGAATAAGACTGTTAAGGGGGCTGAATTCATTTTTAAATCTTTGGAAATTATTCCTTTTTGCCTGACAGGGAGATACTTAAATGATATCTTCTGTGTTTCTTCTTTTTTAATTGTTTTTAATTATGAAAGGTTGCAGTAAAGAAGAGTGCATGAGATATGTATTGGCAGTTTAAGAAATAATTATAAAATGAACACCTCTGTACCCATTATCAAACCAAGAAGTAGAATGTTTTCAACTCTGCAGTAATTCTTTCCTGTGTTCCTTCCTAATCATATAAGGTCCCCTTAAAATTTGTTTCATACTTTATGATGCTTATATCCTGGGGTCTAAAGGTTACTGAATGCATTGAATATATGAATTTTAGCCAACTTCTTTCTAAACATAATGATATGTTTCATCTGATTTTGCTAAACTTTTATTCATTTGTTTCATTTTTAGCTGAATGAGGAAGCCCAAGAATATATATTGAACCTTTTCCAACGTTATGTTGATGAAGGTTTACATTTTATCAACAAAAAGTGCACCCAGGCAATCCCACAAGTGGACATCAGCAAAGTTACTACCCTCTGTTGCTTATTAGAGTCTTTGATATTGGGAAAAGATGGAATTAACTTGACAATGGTATGAAGGGTTTTCTTACTGTTGTGAAGCTAAGAAAATGAAATATTGTATAGATTCTTTGCAAATAATTAACTCTAAATTTTCTGAAATATAGGTCATTGATTTTCAAGTTAATTTTTCAGAGAAGTAATGACTATTATTAGATTCATAGAAGCTCAAAGTTAGAAGAAATGTTAGAGGTCCTATAGTTTAGTCCTCTACTCAATTTTCAATTCACATGCAGTGTACAACATAGTCTCAATCTGCTTAAATAACTTTATGCATGCATTTAGAAAAGTTATAATAGGCAGCTAAAAGACAACTTTGAGCTGTTTTTCCTACATATGCCTTTCCATTCATTGTCTCTTCAATATTTAATTATGTAGATAAGAAAATTCCATTTTGTGAGCCATTAAACATATGTGGTACAACTTAAGATTTTTCTTACGTTTATTTATGAAATATTAAAACTATTTTCTTTATTTTTTAGGAACAAGTGAAATTGAACACTGTGCTATGCCAGACATTTGTATTCTGTTACTTATGGTCTTTGGGTGGAAACTTAAATGAAAATCATTGGGATTCTTTTGATACGTTTATCAGAACACAATTTGATGATAACCCTGATGCCAGGGTAAGAACAAAATAAATTTAAAATCATAATTTTGAATCATTAAAAATAAATGTTAAGATTACAATTCTAAAAATCTTAATGCCACAAAATAATTATTCACTAAGAAGATTTTTAATTTTATTTATTTTTATTTTTTTAAGAGAGAGAGAGAATTTTTGATATTCATTGTTTTAGTTATTGGTGGACATAACATCTTTGTTTGTATGTGGTGCTGAGAATGGAACCCAGGCCGCACGCATGCCAGGCGAGCGCGCTACCGCTTGAGCCACACCCCCAGCCCTATTTTTTATTTTTTAATTTGTTCTAATTAGTTATACATGATAGTAGAATGCATGCATTTTAACACATTGTATACAAATGGAGCATAACTTTCCTTCCTCTGGCTGAACATATTGGTGTAGAGTCACACCAATAGTGTAAACATACACGTATATCAGGTAATAATGTCCATCTCATTCCACTATCCTTCCCATCCCCATACTCGATCCCTTCCCCTCACTCCCCTTTGTACAATCCAAAGTTCCTTTATTATTCCCCACCCCTGCCCATTATGGAGTAGCATTCACTTACCAGAGAAAACATTTAGGCTTTGGGTTTGGGCATTTGGCTTATTTTACTTAGAATGATATTCTCCAGCTCAATCCATTTACCTGTAAATGCCATAATTTCATCTTCTTTAAGGGTGAGTAATATTCAATTATGCATATGTACCACAATTTTCTTTATCCAGTCATCTGTTAAAGGGCATTTAGTTGGTTTAGCTATTGTGAATTGAGTTGCTATAAACATTGATGTAGCTAAATTACTATAGTATGCTGACTTTAAGTCCTTTGGGTACAAACCAAGGAGTGGGATAGCTGGGTCAAATAGTGGTTCCATTTCAAGTTTTCTAAGGAATCTCCATACTCATTTCCAGAGTGGTTGCACCAACTTTCAGTCCCACGAGCAATCTAAGAGTGTCCCTTTTCTCCCACACCCTCACCAACGCTTACTGTTGCTTGTATTCTTGATAATTGCTATTCTGACTGGAGTCAGATGAAATCTTAGTTTTGATTTGCATTTCTCTAATTGCTAAAGATGTTAAACATTTTTTCATATGTTTGTTGATCAATTGTATTTCTTCTTCTGTGCAATGTCTGTTTAGTTTCTTAGCCCATATACTGATTGGGTTATTTGGTTTTTTTTTGGTATTAAGTTTTTTGAGTTCTTTATACATGCTGGAGATTAGTGCTCTATCTGATGTGCTTGTGGTAGATTTTCTTCCATTCTTTAAGCTCTCTCTTTATGTTATTGATTGTTTCTTTTGCTGAGAAGAAGCTTTTTAGTTTGAATCCATCCCATTTATTGATTCTTGCTTTTACTTCTTGCCCTTTAAGAGTCTGGTTAGGGAAGTCAGTTCCTAAGCCATCATGGTGGAGATTTGGTCCTACTTTTCCCTTTATTGGGCACAGAGTCTCTGTTCTAGTGCCTAAGTCTTTGATCCACTTTGAGTTCATTTTAATGCAGGGTGAGAGATAGAGGTTTAATTTCATTTTGCTACATATGGATTTCCAGTTTTCCCAGCTCCATTTTTTGAATAGGCTCTCTTTTCTCTAATGTATCTATCTTTTTGGTGCCTTTGTCTAGTATCAGATAATAGTATTTATGTGGGTTTGTGTCTGTGTCTTCTATTCTGGACCATTGGTCTACATGTATATTCTGGTGCCAATTACTATGCCATTTTTGCTATTATTGCTCTGTAGTATAGTTTAAGGTCTGATATATGGTGATGCCTCCTATTTGCTAATGAATGCTTTGGCTAATCTGGGTCTCTTATTTTTCCAAATGATGAACACTACTGAAATGTGGAAAATAATTAGAAACTATTGAAAATTTATACTCCAATAAAGCAGACAATCTCAAAGACATCAACACATTTCTAGAGACATATGAACTACCCAAACTTAATCAAGAGGGAATACACAATTTAAATAGATCAATTTCAAGCAATGAAATAGAAGATACTATCAAAAGCTTACCAACCAAGAAAAGCCAAGGACCAGACAGATTATCAGCCAAGTTCTACAAGACCTTTAAAGAAGAATTAACACCAGTACTCCTCAAATTATTCCATGAAATAGATCAGGAGGGAACCCTTCCAAACTCATTCTATAAGGCTAGTATCATCCTGATACCCAAACCAGACAAAGACACATCAAAGAAAGAAAACTTCAGACCAATATCCCTGATAAATATAGATGTGAAAATTCCCAATAAAATCCTGGCAAATCACATATTAAAACATATTAAAAAGATAATGCACCAGGATCAAATGGGGTTCATCCCAGGGATGCAAGGTTGGTTCAATATAAAAAACTCAATAAACATAATTTATCACATCAATAGACTTATAGACAAGAATCATATGATCATCTCAACAAATGCAGAAAAAAAGTGTTTGACAAAATACAGCACCTCTTCATGTTCCAAACACTAGAAAAAACAGGGAGAGTAGGAACATACCAAGCCAAGCATCATTTTAAATGGAAAAAAATTGAAAGCATTCCCTCTAAAAACTGGAATAAGACAGGGATGCCCTCTTTCACAATTTCTATTCAACATAGTCTTGGAAACTCTAGCCAGAGTAAACAGACAAAAGAAATTAAAGGAATACAAATAGGAAAAGAAGAACTCAAATTATCACTATTTGCTGACAACATGATTCTAAATTTAGAAATCCAAAAAAATTCACCAGAAAACTCCTAGAGCTAATAAATGAATTCAGCAAAGTATCAGGATATAAAATCAACACCTATAAATCAAATGCATTTCTATACATCAGTGATGAATCCACTGAAAGAGAAATTAGGAAAACTATCCCATTCACAATAGTGTCAAAAAAATACTAAGATTTTTTTAAGAGAGAGAGAGAGAATTTTTTAATATTTATTTATTTTTTTTTTAGTTTTTGGTAGACACAACATCTCTATTTTATTTTTATATGGTGCTGAGGATCAAACCTAGCGCCCCGTGTGTGCCAGGTGAGCGTGCCACCGCTTGAGCCACATCCCCAGCCCCTAAGATTTTTTAATTTATTTTTTCAACCATAGATAACATTTTATTGTATTTTTTAAAAAATTAGAAGTCCTTTTTCATTATAAAGAAATTAAGGTGTGGAGTCCATTAAAACTCTTTACAATAGATGAATATTAAATTCTAGCTTGTAAATTTACTTTACTAATTTTTAGACTTGTATTTTCAGCAAAGTATTCCATAAATTGCATGAGATGGTCAATAATTAATATAAACTGGTTTTGATTTGCACTTCTCTAATTGGTAGAGATGATGAACATTTTTTCATATATTTGTTGATTTATTGTATATCCTCTTCTGAGAAGTGTCTGTTCAGGTCCTTGGCCCATTTATTGATTGGGTTATTTGCTTTTTTTAGTGCTTAGCTTTTTGAGTTCTTTATTTATTCTAGAGTTTAGGCTCTATCTGATGTGTGAGGGGTAAAAATTTGCCCCTCAGGATGTAGATTCTCTGTCACCTCTCAGATTGTTTCTTTTGCTGAGTAGAAACTTTGTAGTTTGATTCCATCACGTTTATTGATTCTTGGTTTTAATTCTTATACTATAGGAGTCTTATTAAGGACATTGGGGCCTAATCCCACATGATGAAAATTAAAGCCTACTTTTTCTTCTATTAGACACAGAGTCTCTGGTTTAATTCCTAGGTCTTTGATCCATTTTGAGTTAAGTTTTGTGCATGGTGAGAGATAGGAGTTTAATTTCATTTTGTTACACCCATATACCTGCAAGTGTCATAATTTTATTCTCTTTTAATCCTGAGTAATATTCCATTGTGTATATATGCAATGATTTCTTTATCTATTCATATATTGAAGGGCATCTAGGTTGGTTCCACAGTTTAGCTATTGTAAATTGAGTTGCTATAAACATTGATGTAGCTGCATTCTTATAATATGCTGACTTTAAGTCCTTTGGGTACAAACCAAGGAGTGGGATAGCTGAGTCAAATGGTGATTCCGTTCCAAGTTTTCTAAGGAATCTCCATACTCCTTTCCTGTGTGGTTTCACCAATTTGCAGTGTGTGAGTGTGCCTTTTCCCCCATTGCTGGTTGCACCAGCAAGGTGTGAGTGTGCCTTTTCCCTCACATCCTCGCCAACACTTATTATTGCTCTTGATAATTGCCATTTTGATTGGAGTGAGATGAAATCACAGAGTAGTTTTGATTTGCATTTACTAGAGGTGTTGAACATTTTTTCATATATGTGTTGATCAATTGTATATCTTCTGAGAAGTGTCTGTTAAGTTCCTTAGCCCATTTATTGATTGGGTTATTTGGGTTTTTGGTATTAAGTTTTTTGAGTTCTCTATATATCCTGAAGATTAGTGCTCTCTCTGGCATGTGTGTGTCAAAAATTTGCTCCTAAAATGTAGGCTTTCTCTTCACCTCATTGATTGTTTCTTTTGCTGAGGATAATCTTTTTAGTTTGAATTCTTGATTTTATTTCTTGCACTTTAGGAGGCTTATTAAGGAAATTAGGGACAAATACAATGTGATGGAGATTGGGCCTACTTTTTCTTCAATTAGGCACAGGGTCCTGGTCTAATTCCTAGGTCCTTGATCCACTTTGAGTTGAGTTTTGTGCATGGTGAGAGATAGGAATTTAGTTTCATTTTGCTACATAGGGCTTTTTTATTTTTCCAGCGCCATTTGTTGAAGAGGCTATCTTTTTTCTAATCGATGTTTTTGGCATCTTTGTCTATTATGAGATAACTGTATTTATCTGAGTTTTTTCTCTGTGTCTTCGAGAATAGTCTTTCTTATTTCCTAGACCTTTGTTCAGATATATATAATTCACCCTCTCCATGCTTTTAAATTATAGGTCACAATCTATTAATTTACCATGAAAGTATCATAACTAGTTTTTGGAAATGAAATAACCATTATCACAACATTTAGTCAGCACTATATTGGAGGTTCTAGCCAGCGTGAGAAGGGCAAGAAAAAGAAATAAAACATACAAACTTTGGAAGGAAAGAAGTACACTTATCATTATATTCAGGAAACAATATTGAATATGTAGAAAATCCTAAAAAATTCACAAACAAATTATTAACATTATTAATTTTGCAAAGCTATTGAATTTAAAGTCCACAGAAAGTTAACAAGTGAAATTTTAAAGCAATACCATTTACATTAGCAAGAAAATATTAAAAACAGATAAATCCAATTAAAGATGTAAAAGACTTCCCTGAAAACTTAAAAACTTTGCTGAGAGAAACTTTTAAAGATCTAAATAAATAGAGATATGCAGATTACATTTGTGGGTTAAAATATTCATAACTACTAAGGTTAGCTCTCCCAAATATATTCTGAAGATTCAAGGTAATTCTAACCTCAAAACCCCAATAGGGTTTTTATGGAAACAGATTCTCATTCTAAAATTTGTGTAAAAATGTAAAACCCTAAAATAACAAAGATAATCTTAAAGAACACAAACTTGGAGGACTTAAACTACATGATTTTAAGAACTCAAGGATCTGGGGATGGAGCTCAGTGGTAGAGTGCTTGCCTAACATGCATGATACTTTGAATTCTATCCCTAGCACTGTCAAAAAGAAAAAATAAAACAAAAAGATTTTAAACCAATAAAGCATTAGTAATGAAGAGAATGTGGTACTGATGAAAAGATAAGTAGAACAAATAAACTAGTAATTACTTCATAGGAGAATGCAGGTGTGGCTAGAATTGATAAGGAAGGGGAAGACAGTATTGAAGTGCTGGACATGTTTTATGTCTTGATCCAGAGGTAAATGTATACATTACTGTTTGCATATATAACTTTATAACATGAGCTCTTTAAACTGAACTCTTAAAATCTGGCATAAGATGTTGTGTTCCGCCTCAAAAGAGTTTTTTTTTTAATAGGGTGAAATAGAAAACAGAGTGAATTATACATTGCAGGGGCAAATATTATACATTTGTAGATGTGCTTGTATGTCTGTACAGGATCCCCATGTAAAATTACCTTCTTACTAAGAGTCAGTCACTATTAAATGAGCTTAAAACAACACTGCTTCATATAGCTGCCAGAATGAACCTTCTAAAATACAATCTGATTATGTCACTCACCTACTTAGATTCTTTAACTGAGTTCTTTGATACATAATGCTTTGTGCAATCTAGCTCCTGTCTGTATTCCCACTCTTATCTCTCACTTTGCTTTAATGGTTCTCAGTATACACTATACTTTCCATGGCTTCAGTCTTCATACTCTATATTTTTAACCTGAATTTGATCTCTTCCTCCCCATCCCTATCCTTCTTTACCAATCTTATTCCTGCCTGCTCTTCAAGTCTTAGCTGTAACATTACTACTCTGAAAGCTTTCTTACATCTCAGCCACCACCATAATTCCTCTACAAATTGAACTTAGCCATCCTTCCTTTGTAAATGTAGCAACTTCATGAGACCTCTCATTTCCCCATGGATATTAGCTGAAGTGCATATGTCTTCCATGTCATTGAAGACAGAAGCTGGATCTCATCCAGCACATGTCTCCAGCACAAAGCACAATATTTGGCACAGAGTAAGCCCCTGGATTTTGAATTATATTGAAAATACTTTGTATTTCTGATATGGGATTTTAATATAATCAGTAAATTGAATTTTCCATGCATTATGTTACATGATTCTGTTTTTAAAATTAACCTCTGATACTTAAACACTTACTCTTCACAAAGAAAAAAGAAATCCAAATAAATTCATGTTTTTTGACTTCCCTTTGTTTCTATGAGAATATGTCTATTGCAATTTGCTGTGTTGCCTGTTACCTATTGAAAGTGGTATTTAATTTTATACTTTAGCTTCCGAGTTCTGGTGATCTTTGGAGCATTCATGTGGACTTTGACACTAAACGGATGGATCCCTGGGAACGAATTATACCTACTTTCAAGTACAGCCGAGATATTCCGTTTTTTGAAATGCTTGTCCCCACAACAGACACAGTGCGCTTTGGGTATCTAATGGAAAAACTACTTGCAGTCAAACATTCAGTTTTGTTTACTGGAATAACTGGAGTTGGCAAGGTAGGAAACCTAACATCAAAAAAAGTTCTGTTCTAAACATTAAGGCATGGTGAACTTAAGAATTATTCTCACCAGAAATAGCACACATTTCTCAGGGGAAATTTTTTAAAATTTTGTTATGTTTTCAGGAAGTCTATAGCTGTACTAAATCTATACTGATCCTAGGAATTATTTCAAAGTTTGCCAGTTTCTGAATAAATCCTTGGGCTGATATTATGTAAACCATAGTAGATTTTCAGGCCAGAGTTTGTGTTTAGGGACTTTATTATTCTATCTGTTGGTATTCGTGGGACTGCTACTGCACTGATTGGGTAAGAATTGTCCAGAATAATTTTTGTGCTCAAAGCACTATTGATGAAATTCAGTTGGTTCCCTCTTGCCTGTTTACTTCTACCTGATATGACAATAACATTATTTTCATGGGTTTTTTTTTTTAAAGTAAGGTAATAGGAGGATTCTGATTGCTTGATCTTTATTTTGGAAGATTCCACATATGCGGTGATTCATTATTTCCCATCTAAATTATTTCCAAAAGAAGTTTAAATCTTCCTGTAACTCTCATTGTCAAATTGTCTTGGATAATAACCAAGATGGCTTTGGGTAGGCAGCTAAAATAAGATTATTTTTCTGAGATAGAGCTGATTAGAATATTTTTTTGGCTCGGATAAGTATAACTAAATAATAGAGAACATTTCAGTCTGGACTTAACTTCTCTCTTATATTATTTCTTACTCAGTGTACAGGATACTAATAAAGGTTATTGAAAAATATGTTATGTTGAATGTGAGATTAACAAACTGATTTTTTAAATCTAAAGACCGTTATTGCCAAAGGATTGCTAACTAGAATTCAGGAATCTGCTGGCTATGTCCCTGTTTATCTAAATTTTTCTGCCCAAACTTCATCTGCAAGGACACAAGAGATCATTGAATCAAAACTGGAAAAAAAAAGAAAAAATATTCTAGGTAAGAACTGTCATTTTCATTTGTTCTCTATAAACTACTCACTAAGCCAATAAATTATATAAACACCACACATAGTAAAGGACAATTGGATATTTTCTTACTTTATTTGTAAAGATGTGCCTTGGTTTGATTTTTGTTGCAACACTAAAATACCTGAGATTGGTTACTTTACAAAGAAGAGAGAGGTTTATTTAGCCCACAGTTATAGATGTCCAAGAGCACGATGCCCTCATCAGCCTCAAGGTGGACAGCATCACGTGGCAGAAACACATGTATGAGAGAGGGGTCACATGATGAGAGAGAAAGAAAGTGAACAAGAACTTACAACCCACTCTCATGGCGATCAATGAAGTCCCTTGAGAGCAAGAACTCACTCCCACAAGAAAACATTAATCCCTCATAAAGGTCTCAGTACTTCTAAACACAATTGGAGTCCAAGCCTCAACGTGAGTTTTGGTGGAGACAAAGCATATTTAAACCAAAGCAAGGTGATTCTATTAGTGATATTTTTCCTGTACCAGATATCTAGATATCTTTCTGTTATAAGCAAGCCGTTTATTTCTACCATTCCCTTAAAACCAGAACATCTTCAGTCTTTGCTTCTTCATGGCTCTCACTCTATCCACCCAGGCTTGAATTGATTTCCCTTTATTTAAAATTAACAACTCTGATTTTACCTAGCACACTGAGTTTCTGAACTCAGTGGGGAATAAACATGAAACTATTTGGGTTTTTGCATCAGTCAGCATTTTAAGGCAGGGATTTCCTTGACCCACCCTTATTAATTATTTAAGATAAATAGCTTCTGGTCACCTTCAGATGTTTTGAGTCTGGGCCAATGTAAAACTTCAATCCCCAAACCTAATTTAAAGTTCACCTTATCTTCTGTCATAAGCCAGCGTTGTGGCTCCAGGTACTGAAGATAGAGGGAGAAATGGGATACTCTTTACTTCTATCCCACGCCCATTCCACATAGAAAAAACTGATATGTTGGGATGGGAAAAGAAGAAAGGACAAGTGTCTTCTCCCTGACTGATAGTTAAATAGGCCTGTGGGCATGTGGATGATCCCTGCTTCTCTGGCTGGTGCTGAATGACTGCCCAACCTGTCTAAGAGGCACTTTCAGGAGTAGGCTCTTGTGAGGGACTCCTATAAGGTCTGTCCTCATTTTAGGCATTAAGCCTCCCCTTTGGAAGGTTCCCTGAGGTTGGGAATCAGGGTCTCAACCTTCACTCAGTTTCATCCTCCAGCCTCTTGCTGCTAGAGTTCACCTGCCCAACCTACAGCCCTTCTGGGTGGGTTACCAGTCAGAACTCAGGTCCAGCTGCTTTGTACAGTGTACAGCATCTAATAGGCTCTGTTATGCCAAACACTGGAGTTGTTTACTGCCTCACAGCTTTCTTTTACCTGCTCAGTTAGACACAGGACATTGGTCTATTTTCTGATGAGGGATCCAGATTTTTAAAAATGATTCCCTTACATCCTTTCCAAATCCTGCTTCATGCTTCTCAGCTTTCAGGAACCAGAGGATAGAGTAAAATTCTGAGTTATTCTCAGTTACCTTGGAATTACCATCCAACATTAATACCAACCAAAGAGAAATGGCTATTTGTCCTTTAGCCTTAAGCACAAGGTACTGAATAGGTGAAGTCACCTCCTATTCTTCAGTTGCTACTTTTTCTCTGCTATCACTAATTATTTTTTCTGATAGTATATTTATTGGTTTTCTTTAAATGTGGCATTGTGTATATCCACAATCCTAGATTTCGATGTGATTTCCCTTTGATGCAATGGGAATGCTTTTGAATTTTGAACTGTTTTCCATGTGAGGGTGATGAGATGGCATTTTTGAAAGAGAACCTTTAGCTTTCCACACCCATGCCCTGGCCCCATAATTAGTGAGGGCACTGGTGTGCTGAGACTTGAGAATGGTCCAGACCTCACTGGAGAGCTACCAGTATTATGGGCTCTGAGAGTAAGGGTGAGGAACAACCTGACATAACAATGTGGGCCTCAGAGCCAGATCTACGTCTCGCTGAAGGGGCCTGTATGGGGACAGAAGGAGATATGTCTCCTTGGAGTGGGACTCTGCTAGGTCTCTCCTCACTCTTGAGAAAAGAATTAAACTAGTATGACTCGCAAGTCAGTATGACTCTCATTGAGTGCAAAGCCATACCTATGCTTTCTTTCTTTTTTTTAGTCCATTATCATAACAGAATATCTGAGACTGACAAATTTATAAAGAGAAAGGTTTTTTAGCTCCAAGTCTTGGAAGTTCAGGAGCGTGGTGCTGGCAGCTGCTCAGCTTCTGGTGAAGGCCTCATACAGGTCAATTCTTGGCAGAAAGCAAAAGAGCAATCAACCACATGCAGAAGATAGAAAAGAGGGCCAACCTCCTATAATATAAACCCATTTATATAATAAAAACATTAATCCATTCCTGAGGGAAGATCCTTCATGATCTCAGATGCCTCTTTTTTTTAAATTTATTTTTTTAATGTTGGTTGTTCAAAACATTACATAGTTCTTGATATATCATATTTCACATTTTGATTCAAGCGGGTTATG